TTGCAATAGCTTGCTGGATTCTTTGATTCATGTATTTATTGTGTCAACAGCCAGATGGAAGCAGCTTTGTGTGAGTTGAAGGGTAAGTAGCCAGGCAGCAGCAAGGAAGCGTCTTTCTCCAGTCAACTGGCTTTGACTCACTCCCATCCGAAATGTTTCGAAGTCGTAGATATATTCCCTCCCTCTAATGGCTGGAAACCTTATCTTGATCCCCCACCATTTGTCGCCTGTGTTCAGGGTTCGGAACACCGTTCCCCAGCTGCATGTCCGCCAGATACTTTGTGCTACAATTCCCACCAAGCTCATGGGAGTCATAGTCCAAAAAAATATGGAGGGCATCAGGTTGGGGAAGGCTGTCCTGAACCATGAATGTCCAGTGGCAAATGATAAGAGGTGAAAATAATGGTTTCAAATACTTTGTTGTTGTTTAGTCGTTTAGTCGTGTCCGACTCTTCATGACCCCATGGACCAGGGCACGCAAGGCACTCCTGTCTTCCACTGCCTCCCGCAGTTTGGTCAAACTCATGCTGGTAGCTTCAAGAACACTGTCCAACCATCTCGTCCTCTGTCGTCCCCTTCTCCTTGGGCCCTCCATCTTTCCCAACATCAGGGTCTTTTCCAGGGGTCTTCTCTTCTCATGAGGTGGCCAAAGTATTGGCGACTCAGCTTCAGCATCTGTCCTTCCAGTGAGCACTCAGGGCTGATTTCCTTCAGAATGGATAGGTTGGATCTTCTTGCAGTCCATGGGACTCTCAAGAGTCTCCTCCAGCACCAGAATTCAAAAGCATCAATTCTTCGGCGATCAGCCTTCTTGATGGTCCAGCTCTCACTTCCATACATCACTACTGGGAAAACCATAGCTTTAACTATATGGACCTTTGTTGGCAAGGTGATGTCTCTGCTTTTTAAATACTTTTTTCAAATACTTTAGGGAGGGCTTATTTAGGGCAACCAAGGAACAGAAACCAGGAATGAGGCTTACCAAGGAAGAATTCACAAGGGCTGGAATCATCAGAGATTGGAAATAACTATGGCGTCCTCTCCCTGGTGATGTTTCTGACTTGAATTTGTGGGATAACCAGTCTCATATAACCAACGTTATTAACGCACAAATGGGTGCGTTAATACCATAGAGTAAGCTCTCCTGCCAGCTTAGGTCACTTCCCTTCACCTTACTAGGAATTTGTTCTCCTCCAGTCAACCTGTGAACCTCCGTGTGTGGTTTGCAAGGAAAAATAGATCTAAAAGGAGTCCACTCAATGTGTAAAGAGGTTTGAGCTGGTTGTTCCAGCTCAGACTGCATGGCTTTCACAAGCCATTCTTGAGGAACTCTCACCGTTTTGTAACTTAGCCAAGTCTTCCTGCCTGTGCAATTTTTCTGAATCACATGAATTTGACCTTTGGGGAGTTTGTAAGTAAACAATTTTTAATTTGCGAAATGAGTGGTCTTCTCAATTACTGAAAGAAGAGGGCGTTAATGCAGAAATCTCAACTAAAAGCATCCATGACAGACAGCCATCCAACCTCTGCTTAGAAACCTTCGAGGAAGGAGAGTCCACAACCTCCCAAGGGAGTCCGTTCTGCTGGCAAACAGCTCTTACTGTCAGAAAGTTCTTTCTGATGTTTAGTCAGAATCTACAAGTATGTTTTTGTCCATAGCTGCTGGTGGTCCTGGTGTTCAATGAACAGTGAGAGCAGGGACTCATGGAAGAGCTTTTTTTGTGGTGGCTCCACATCTTTGGTTAGATGCAAGTTAAAACCCCATCCTTTTTGTCAGGTTGATGGAGTAAAGCCAGGCTTGTGTTAACTGTGTAACATATGGGAATGGTTGTCCTATTTTTGCGCATCCCTGTGATGGAAAACAGCTTGCTTTCTCCTGCTCAGGAGGGTACGACCCAAACCAACAGATTCAAATGACAAAAAAGGAAATTCCAACTAAAGGGCAGGAAGAACTTTCTAAGAGCCATTTGACAGTGAACTCCCTTGGAAAGTAGTGGTCTCTCCTTCCTCGGAGGTTCTTAAACAGAGATTGGGTGGCCCTCTGCCAATGATCCTTAAGGTGTGACCCCCTCCTTATAGGGGTCAGGCTAGATGACATTTGGGCTTCCCTCCCAACACTACAACCCTAGGATTCTATGGCAATTTTTGGTGAAGGGTGGTATAAAGAGGGAAAGTAAAGAAACAATCGCCAGAGAATTGATGCTTTTGAATTCTGGTGCTGGAGGAGACTCTTGAGAGTCCCATGGACTGCAAGAAGATCAAACCTCTCCATTCTGAAGGAAATCAGCTCTGAGTGCTCACTGGAAGGACAGATCCTGAAGCTGAGGCTCCAAGACTTTGGCCGCCTCATGAGAAGAGAAGACTCCTGGAGAAGACCCTGATGCTAGGGAAACATGGAGGGCACAAGGAGAAGGAGACAACAGAGGACAAGATGGTTGGACAGTGTTCTCGAAGCTACCAGCATGAGTCTGACCAAACTGCGGGAGGCAGTGGAAGACAGGAGTGCCTGGTGTGCTCTGGTCCATGGGGTCACGAAGAGTCGGACACGACTAAATGACTAAACAACAACAACAACCCAACACTACAACCCTAGGATTCTATGTCCATTTTTGGTGAAGGGTGGTATAAAGAGGGAAAGTAAAGAAACGATAAAGAGAAGACGCAAATCTGAAGAGGGCAAGCCGAGCTTACTAGCGCCGTAATTAGGATAAATATTGCCAGGCACTCCAGGAGCTCACGATTTCCAGTGGATATTATTTCCCCTCCCCTCCCCTGGTAAATTATTTGTGAAGTGTGTCTGAATAGCATTAAGTGCTATCTTCATAATATGTTTTCCCCTCAAACAAACACTTCTGGGGCTTCGGAGCATGAAATAAGTAAAGCTCCGTGGAGAGTGGTATTTTTAGCTCCCCGTGGCCGCGTGACCAGGCAGCGGCTTCTGTTGCGATCATCAGTATCACAAATTTAAAATTGATTGAAGCAATAGGAGCGCCTGGCAAAGCAGGCAAGGCTGGAAGGAAGCAAGGCTTCCGGGATGCTTTTAATCAGGAACCGGCCGCAGCTGAGCAAAACGCAGACGCGGGCAGGGAACTTCTGTTCTCTCCCCGGGACAAGCAGGGTCTGAGAGGTGGAGCTCTGGCCACTGTCCCCTGGGACCGCTCGATCCACTGGACTGCACACCATGCATAAGAACCTGACAATAGCCTGCAGGATCAGGCCAAGGGCCCATCTAGTCCAGCATCCTGTTCTCGCACTGGCCAGCCAGAGGTCAGGCGGCAAAGAAACCAAGCTGCCAAGAACGGACAAGACCAGGAAAAGTCCTTACCATTTGCTTTTATTCAGTATTCACAGACAGAGGCTCGGGAATGCAGCCTCTCTGAATAATGGCGTTGTCCCACGTGAATCTTCACCCGCTCTGTCTCTCTCACTAATAATAATAATACATAATAATAATAATTTATTATTTATACCCTGCCCATCTGGCTGGGTTTCCCCAGTCACTCTGGGCGGCTTCCAACAAAACACTAAAATACAATAACCTATTAAACATTAAAAGCTTCCCTAAACAGGGCCGCCTTCAGATGTCTTCTAAAAGTTTGGTAGTTATTTTTCTCTTTGACATTTGGTGGGAGGGTGTTCCACAGGGCGGGTGCCACTACCGAGAAGGCCCTCTGCCTGGTTCCCTGTAACTTGGCTTCTCGCAGTGAGGGAACCTCCAGAAGGCCCTCGGCACTGGACCTCAGTGTCCGGGCAGAACAATGGAGGTGGAGGCGCTCCTTCAGGTATACTGGACCGAGGCCGTTTAGGGCTTTAAAGGTCAGCACCAACACTTTGAATTGTGCTCGGAAACGTACTGGGAGCCACTTCCTCATGAGCCATCATTATGGGTACTGAAAACTGCCCTCTGCCTTGGAGCTCTTTGCTCTCCTACTTTCAAGGCCTGCCAGGTTCTGGGAGATGGAAGGGGTACTGGAATGCTTTCTAAAGACACTGAGTCCGTCAGCTGTTGCTCCCTAGTGCTTCTTATTCCTCCTTTCCCTCTCCCATTGTTTCCCAGCTTTTCCTCTCACCTGCCTCTGAGCTGGGACCTCCCTCAAACCCCTGTGGTAATTCTGAACTGTCTTCATCTTCTCTGGAAGGGCCAGGCTGCCCAGTCCTTGATACCAGTTGCCTGTGGGGAACCCGCAAGCAGGACCTGAGCACAAGACACAAAATGTTTGGGGGGGAATTAGCAAAAATTTGCAGTGGTACCTTGGTTCTCAAATGCCTTGGTACTCAAACAACTTGGAACCCAAACACTGCAAACCCGGAAGTAAGTGTTTCGGTTTGCAAACTTTTTTCGGAAGCTGAACGTGCTCCATTTTGAGTGCCACGCTTCGGATTTGAGTGTTAACACTGATGTCTGTTTTTGCTATTTATTTTGTGGTTTTGTTTTTGCAGCTTTTTTATTTTGTTTTTGTGACTGTGTGGAACCCAGTTCAGCTACTGATTGATTGATTGATTGTGTGACTACAGTACATTGTTTATTGCTTTCATTTTATGGATCAATGGTCTCATTAGATAGTAAAATTCATGTTAAATTGCTGCTTTGGGGGTTGTTTTTAAAAGTCTAGAACGGATTAATCCATTTTGCATTACTTTCTATGGGAAAGTGTGCCTTGGTTTTGGAACGCTTTGGTTTTGGAACGGACTTCCGGAATGGATTAAGTTTGAGAACCAAGGTACCACTGTATATAGAAAAGAAGAAGACGACCCAAAAGAAGGTAGAGCAGGAGAGGCCTTGAAGTTTCCAGTCAACTGTGAGCACCCGGACAGCAGACAGAGCAGACATCCAGCCATCTGGTCACTGTCTCTCCTACTCTGGAGAGATGCATTGCGTTTCTGTTGAGCCTGCAATGTTTCTGGATGTGCACAGTGGCGTCACATAGAATCACAGAATTGCAGGGTTGGGACCCTTAGGGTCATCTGGCCCAACCCCCTGCAATGCAGACATATGCAGCTGTCCCATACGGGGATTGAACCTGCAACCTTGGCGTTATCAAGCTCTAAGCACCAAGCTCTAAGCAACTGAGTGTCAGGAATGAGCCAGCTCCTAGCGAAGGTTTGCAGCCAACTGTAGAAAGCAGCCAAAAACAGAGAGGCTTAGATGTTAGTCAGGCAGGGGAGAGCCGGCAGCTGGTGATTTCGGCTTTTCCTGACCTTGAAGGGCAGGCTGATAAGGCAGTAGCTGAGAGCAGGCCAGAACACAGTCAAAGCTCACCAGAAGCTCAAACAGGAGCGAACAAACACACAGATAGCATGTTAGAAAAGGAAGAGGTTGGAGCTAATCCAATAAGTCCTAGGAGTCGGTGAATGGGAGGGCTACTAGACAGGAAGCAAAATAAGAGCCGTAAGAGCTGCTGACAGCGGAAGGAATCTTCAGAAACATCATCTTGAGTGATGATGCCAGAGCCTTTGTTAGAGCCGTCCGGAGCTATCTGTTTGTTTTTGCAATAAATCCTTGGTCCAGTATACCTGAAGGAGAGTCTCCACCCTCAACGTTCTGCCCGGACACTGAGGTCCAGTGCCAATGGCCTTCTGTTGGTTCCCCCACTGCGAGAAGCCAAGTTAAAGGGAACCTGGCAGAGGGCCTTCTCGGTAGTGGTGCCCGCCCTGTGGAACGCCCTCCCCACCACATGTCAAAGAGAACAACTACTACCAGACTTTCAGAAGACATCTGAAGGCAGCCCTGTTTAGGGAAGCTTTTAATGTTTAATAGGTTATTGTATTTTAGTGTTTTGTTGGAAGCCGCCCAGAGTGGCTGGGGAAACCCAGCCAGATGGGCGGGGTATAAATAATAAATTATTATTATTATTATTATTATTATTATTTACCTACGCTTACTGTATTATCAAGCTGGGAACCTGGACTCTGGACACTGAGCTATCCAATGCTGATCAAGGGGAGGACCAGAGGGATTGTGGCCCTGGGCGCATTTGGGGGAGGTGGTATTTGGCTCCTCGCCGCCCTGCCCACGGCCCTTGGTAGCTGCAACAAGCATGTTGAGCGATGTTGCAGGCTGAGCAGGAGGGGCGCATGCTTGTTGCATCCTCCTCACGCAGCCCTGCAGCATCACAGAGCGGCGCAGCGCTGGCAGGGGAGCATGAGCGTGCTGTTTGTGCGCATGCCTACTGCACCCCGCAATGCAACCCTGCTTGGCTCTGGCGGGTGGTCGTTCCAGCAGCGGTGAGGCTCCATTTACTCTCTGCATCTCCCTCCCCCAGAGTGCACGCCACCACACGGGGCGGCATGTGCCCTCACCCCAGGCACCAGTAGTGTGTGCTATGCCACTGAATGTCCATCCCCGTATTCCAACCACCCTATGCAAATCAATGTTCCCCCCCCCCCCCCCCCCCGTGTCTTTGCAAACGGTCGCCTTACCCCTGGGTCGCTCTGCAAAGAAGGAGCTTCAGATCTCTGGGCTGAAATTAAAAGGAGCCGGGACTCCTTCAGGCCCTGATGGTGTTCTGCTGCAAGCTCATTAGGAAGCCTTTGGGTCTCAAGTCAGCTTCATTGAAGGCTGCCTGGTCTTCCTCTGGCATCTTTGCAGGATTCCTCCCCCCACCTGTTTGAGGTTTAAAGGTAAAGGTAAAGGAACCCCTGACCCTTAGGTCCAGTCGTGACGGACTCTGGAGTTGCGGCGCTCATCTCGCTTTATTGGCCGAGGGAGCCGGTGTACAGCTTCCGGGTCATGTGGCCAGCATGACTAAGCCGCTTCTGGCGAACCAGAGTAGCGCACAGAAACACCGCTTACCTTCCCGCCGGAGCGATACCTATTTATCTACTTGCACTTTGGCGTGCTTTCGAACTGCTAGGTTGGCAGGAGCTGGGACCGAGCAACAGGAGCTCACTCCATCACGGGGATTCGAACCGCCGACCTTCTGATCGGCAAGTCCTAGGCTCTGTGGTTTAACCCACAGCGCCACCCATGTCCCGTCCCGTTTGAGGTTTCGGTGAGGCTTAAAGAAGCCTCTGCCTTATACAGAGTCACATCACTGGACCAAATGCCTTGAGATTGTCCACATCTGGGGTCCCCAAAACGTAGGATGCCATCCCCGGGGGGGTGGCTGTGGGATTGTTTAGGGGGTGCAAAGAGGCGAGCGGGTGTCAGGGAGGCAATGGAGCTGTACCATCAGTCTTTGAAAAGCTGGTATCACTGGATCAAGGTCATAAGTTCTGTTGATTTAATTAAGCTGAAGTAGTTTTAACTGGATTTTGAATAAATGTGTGATGAATAAAGATATGGTCACCGTTAACAAATGGATCAATAATAAGATAACACTCGCAACTTATGAACAGGTTGTTTACAGACGTAGACTTTGTTTGGACAAATATGACAATATTTGGAATGAGTTTATATAAAATGTATTAGGCTATTAATATTTACATATGTATTAAGGTAAAGGGAGCCCTGACCATTAGGTCCAGTCGTGACCGACTCCGGGGTTGCGGCGCTCATATTATTGGCCGAGGGAGCCGGCGTACAGCTTCCAGGTCATGTGGCTAGCATGACTAAGCCGCTTCTGGCGAACCAGAGCAGCGCACGGAAACGCTGTTTACCTTCCTGCCGGAGCGGTACCTATTTATCTACTTGCACTTTGATGTGCTTTCGAACTGCTAGGTTGGCAGGAGCAGGGACCGAGCAACGGGAGCTCACCCTGTCGCGGGGATTCAAACCGCCAACCTTCTGATGGGCAAGTCCTAGGCTCTGTGGTTTAACCCACAGCGCCACCCGTGTCCCTTAGGATAACAATATTAGGATAACAATATCAAACTTATAAAAAGAATGGGTTAGGGTATTTTGGGGGAATATTCTCTACACATTTTGTGCCTTTTTATTTTTATTTTCTTCTTTTTTCTGTGTATCACTTTATTTCTTTATAATCGAAAACCTTTCAATAAAATATTATTATTACAAAAAAGAGTCTCATGTACTATTGCCTGAGCTATCGCTTGCTTATGCTAATTGGGGTGCTAATTAGCTACCCAAAATAATTACCTCAATAAAAGAAACGGTTTGGCAGTTTACCCCACAAATACAGGATCCTCAAAATTGAAAGAGACTCGGGTTAATCATCCAGACTGACCCCACTCCCAATTCATATCTACGCTTTATTCCATTTCACTATTATAGACACCATGAACTGTCAGGAAAGGCAGAATATAAATGTTTTAAATGATCTATGTGCTTCTTTTAGGGCTGCCCTCTTGATGACATGCCATCCGAGTTCCTGTTTCTGTGTAGGAGGTCCCTATATTGCTTTAGCAGCAAAGACCCGTGGACTTCTGGTTATAATTTTTCCATCTTCCATGGGGGGAAAGTAAGATAGAAAAAGCAGCAGACTGGAGCTAAACAATGCCTAAACGCATTATGAACGACCTGGTTCCCCTCCGCTGCTTTCAATTTTGCAAATTAGGCTTTGCAGAAGTAATTACCGAACCAGGAAAGGAAAATCAATTCTACCCAGAATACTGATAGACAGATACCTGCAAACAAGCGCCCAGCCAAGTTCGAAATTAACTCTCTTTATGCACCGGCGGGGACGGTCTGTTTGGAAGCAGCCTCAAATCAAACAACTGCAGCAGAGTAAGAATCTTGCAATCCAGTCCAGCAAGCCCTGAGTCAGGCGATGGTTTCCATCGATTTCGGTTTTGCTGGTGCCAGGACGGAAATTTGAAAGTTTAATTGGAGCTGAACAACAGTTTGCGGAGAGGTGGTTTGCTCAGCAATTAACATTGCACCGCCACCGCCTTTTTCTTTCGTGTTCCATGTTTAGTCCCATTTAGAATTATTTTTAGATTCGCTCGGTGTTAGCAAATCATGCCAGGCAAAAGGTACTGTTCCCCAGCTGCCCTGCTCTATAGGTGTGCCACCTTCTGTGCCAGAGGAGGGAAGGAGAGCCCCAGGATTTGAACGCGGCTCTCCAGCATTTTTATTGTTTGTTTTATTACCTCGCTCCCTGGTTTTGTGACCAGTTCCTTTTCTTTTTCAAGCAATTCATCCAATACTTCTTTCTTTTTGCCATCCCTAATTTTCTTCTGATAAGCATTCTGTTGGATGATAAAACCCTCTCATTACCGCTTTGCCGGCATCCCGAACCACCTTTTTGGATATTTCCTGGTTTAAATTTAATTCAAAATAATCCCGCGGGGCTTTTTCTGCTTTTTGTAAAATATTCTGATCGTCTAAAAGCTCCTCATTTAATCTCCATCTAGTCGGGATATTTTTTCTCCTTTTAATTCTAATAAAATTGAATTATGATCCGAAAGTGTTTTGGGTTGTACCTCTACCTTTTCAGCCTGTGTCACTAACTCTCTCAAAAGCCATACTGGGTCGATTCTTCCACTGGACTAATACGGTTCTGAGAGAAATGTGTATTCCTGTCCAGCGGGTGTTTAAATTTCCAAATATCTATCACATCACAATTCTCTACCAGTTTGAAAAAAGTTACGGGTAGTTTCCCTTCCTTAGTTTCTGTTTGTCTTATAGTTCTATCCATCTCTAGAGAGACTACCACATTTGTATCTCCCATTAAGACTAACATATGCTCAATATATTCCACCTGGCCGCTGAAACCCTTCCCAGCCACACACCTCGCCTCTCTCACTCTCTCTCTGAACTTTGATTATGGACTCAGCTATATAGCTGCAAAGGGACGCAGGTGGCGCTGTGGGTTAAACCACAGAGCCTAGGACTTGCCGATCAGAAGGCCGGCGGTTCAAATCCCCGCGACGGGGTGAGCTCCCATTGCTCAGTCCCTGCTCCTGCCAACCTAGCGTTCGAAAGCACGTCAAAGTGCAAGTAGATAAATAGGTACCGCTCCGGCGGGAAGGTAAACAGTTCGACAGTGGAATTTGCTGCCAAGGAGTGTGGTGGAGTCTCCTTCTTTGGAGGTCTTTAAGCAGAGGCTTGACAACCATATGTCAGGAGTGCTCTGATGGTGTTTCCTGCTTGGCAGGGGGTTGGACTCGATGGCCCTTGTGGTCTCTTCCAACTCTATGATTCTATTCTATGATTCTAAACGGCATTTCCGTGCGCTGCTCTGGT